CTGAAAAACCATGAAAAATTGATTAAAAAGTATATCAATATGGATGTCAATTTAACAAGAAAAATATTATCGTTTTTTTATGTAATTTATTTAGCTTGAATTTTGTCTGTTTTTCGAGGGGTTTTCAAATAAAAAATAAAGAGCGAGGTTTTTTAAAATTAAAAAATATTGTTATAAACGTTCGTTTAATCGTATCCATTAGATCAATTAATCTAAGAGTTGATAAGGTTGTTTATACTTTTTCATTTTTTAGGGTTTTCCCCTAAACCTCCCTTGTATATATATGTGTGTGTAGGAAGAGGTTCATTTGAGAAGTATAAAGTGATCCTAGTCTTCATACGGTCAAGATTGGTCAAGAATCACGACTTTGACTGGTCAAACAAAATATAAATGGGTGGTTTCGTGACTTTTACAAATATGTGACAAACAAGTGCATATATGAACCCATAAATGCATATGTGAATCAGTTAATTAGTTCATAATGAATCAGTTAATTAGTTTATACGTGAATCACATGTGTTCATATGTGAATTACATGGATTCACATATGAACATATAATCTTTATGTGAATCGTACGGGTTCACATATGCATTTGTTTTGCCGCCTATTTTTCAAAAAGTTATGAAACTATTCATCTATCTTCCGCTTACTATGCAATGAATTATCTAGTGTTTTACGGTCAAAGTCACAAATCTTGACTACATGAAGGACTATGATCACTTTTCCACTTCTCAAATACTTACTACTCTCAAATGGACCTATGGCTATGGGTATATATATATATATATAGAGAGAGAGAGAGAGAGAGAGAGAGTGAGTGAGATTCACATGAGAATAATAACCAAATAAGAAAACAGTCGAATCACATGTTGTTTTACACTAAAATCACGTGTAAAATCAATGTGATTCACATGGCTTTAGCCAGGGGCAGATGCAATGGCAAAAAGGGGGGGGGGGGGGAAAGGGACCCCAGTCAAAAAACTAAAAAAAAATCATGGGTTAAAATATAGGTTTACATGATTTACCTTTCACTTCCCCCATTACATTTTTTCACGGGCCCCTAACCTCAATCAAAACTGTTACTCTAACCAAAAAGATGTGTTGAAAAAAACCAAAAAAATTATTCGAAATCGACAAAACACTAAAAAATCCCTCGAAATCAACCAAAAACCTTTAAAATTCCATCGAAAACTTTGTAAATAGGTTAAAAACACATCGGACGATTTTGCGGGTCTTTAGTCTACCTTAAATATGACCCCACTGAACAAAAATCTTGGATCCGCCACTGGCTTTAGCTGATGTAAAATAATATGTGATTTAATCATTTTCATTTGCTCTTATTTAGTTATCAAATTAGTACGATTTGTGATTTTAACATAAATATGTACACATAAAAACATCTGTTTTATAATCCCAACCAATAACAGTTATAAAAATTAAAATTAAATTTCTTAGCAAAAGAATCAATATTATATAATTGGAAAATAATAGTCAGAAAGTGGAGGAAGAAGTGAATGAACCTTGACCTGATATTTTGGTGTTGGACAGCTCTATCCGAAAGCCATCACAGATTTATAATGCCTCAGATAACGACATGCCCACTCATCTTTATCTCCAAATTAACAACTAAGGGACCGTTTACTAAACGTTTATCCAGTAAATGCTTATTAGATAAAAAATTTTACCGAATAAACATGGCAAGGATCAAATATCTTACCTGGTAAAAGCAATGATAAAGATGAAGAGTCTTACTCAGTAAATGAATGTGACGACTCTTACTCGGATAAGCGCTTACAGGATAAATTGTTGCATACAATATCATTTTGATGTACTATAATCTTACCCGGTAAAACATATTATAATGTTAACTCCTAACCGGGTAAGCATTTAGGTAAACAGCCAAACCCACAATGATTTTGTTCAACATTTTTAAACACAATTTATTCATTTGAACAATGATTAATCCTATTTTATTACTAGTAGAAAATAAAAGGTTAAGGTCTCGTCTCCTCGGATTTATAGGATTGGATTTGAAGAGAATTAGAATTACATCAAGTCATAATTCAAGTTTCATATGTGGGGACAAAATTAATCGTTTAGCCTCGTTCCATTTTTTGAAATGTTTACTCCATTAATATCGTAATCAGTCTTATTCCTAACCAAATTTTGGTCTCTAGTCGGCATGACCGGTCCCCGTCCTAATAAAAATTGTCAAAAACCATGTATTAATTAAGAGCTAGCATGCCTAACGGTTCTTAACTAGGCTGAATCAATCCCGGGCTTTTCGGGTGTGGTCACTAATCAAGATCATGCGTTAATGAACTTCGTAAAAGTTAAGGGCTCAAATACATGCTCTCCAAAAACAACCAAACTTGCCAATTCGGAGAAAAAAGTGAGCTCATTCCAAATTCTCTAAACAACTATCAGAAGTAGGGTTGTGGCGTTTTTCATTTTTATTGGATTTTAAACAAAATTTGCGAAACATGTCCATGACCAAAAAAGAGTCGATGAATACGGTGGTTCACTAGCATGGACAGAATTCGCAGCCAAAACGCCATGCTGAAGTAGAACAAAAGAACCATTTTCTGTAGAAAGACTCTTATGTCCTAAACGCTAATGCATCAAGAGTCGATGAGCAGATTTTGGTAGCAGCTATTCACTGCCCACAAACTGCAGTCTTAAGAACAAAAGAGGTGCAACTAACTGCAAATTGAAGCAAAGTGTTGGTGATTTTAGTGTCATCCATCAATTTTGGTGGTATTTGAGATTGATTCGGTGATATGGCTTAAGACAATGTGAGTGAGAAGGTGCAGAGTGCACACTCACAAATGTTATCTCTATCACCTTAGATCGCCATAAGACGGGGGTCAGGGGATTACCTACTTGCGGGGTCCAAGAGGCAGGCCCCTTGCGATGGTCCTGCAATGGATTTTAAGAAGAGGTTTACTTTAAAAAAAAATTAAGTTTAAGACGCTATGCTGGACGAATTTCAAAAGGTTGCAAACCTTCTTGAAATGGTTATAAAACTTGACGGGAAGTTACCCGGCCCTGGGCCTTCAAATTAGAGCTTATATGCTTAGCTTCCAAGTCTCAGGATCAGAACCTATGATGCTTCTGATCATGGTTCGTCTTCTGGGTGTGATTCTTCTGACTCAAAAGTACGGAGTCAGTTGCAACTGTCACCCAACCCAATTTTATCCAGAAACGGTTGTAACGTCGTGCAATTATATGTTAACCATCTAACCGCACATAGCCATCAATCTATCATATAAATACATAAATAGTTGGTCTAGTGAATATATATATAAATATATACACAAGATTTTGTGCCTTAAAACATGTATGAATTTTCTGAATTATCCCATTACTAATTTCATGTTAACCTAAAGCATTCATAAGGTCGAAATATAGAAAGTGATGAATTCAAGATCCAGGATATTATCCAAGTTATAACAAACAACAAAACCCAGATTCCCCAACACAATGGTTCCTTCAAGGCCCATGACCAACGTTAAGTGGTCAAATAGCAAAGTGCCCATAACGAATCCATGAACAAATGTCATCAATCATCTAAAGTAAAGCCCTAAGGAAAGGATCGTCTCAATAACCAAAACCTCTTTTGTTGAAAATTTCCATACCATTCTACAACTCATGTTATGAGATTATGGTTACCAGCTTATAAAACAAGACATACAGAAGGCTAGTATGACCAACCCTGCATCTTTGCTCATAATCCTAAAGTTGTGTCTAAGATCTCCTGATAGCAAATGAACCTATGATCTTGAGTTCACCAATGGAGACTCAACAAAATCACTCCTATATGTGCTTGTAAACATGTAGGGAGAGAAGCAGAGGTATAAACAAATTCAAGTACAAATAAGTAAATGAAAATTTTGTAGGGAAAGGCACTGCAGGATAAAACTTGGCCAGTATTTCATAGCTATAATTTATAAAAAGAGACACAAAAGGCCAACACAATACTAACTAGTCAAAATAATCTGGAGACTTTTCCTCGGAGAAATTGAAGATAAAACATTAATGAAAACAACAATTGCAGATAAACATTGCAAGTGATTTTATTGTTGTTGGCCATTTGGTGTAATCAAGATTTAGAAAAACTGAAGGGTTTTTGGTTAAGCTATAATACGGATTAGGGGTGCAGACAGCAGGCTTGTATAAGCTAAATTTGAACCAAGGATCGCCATACAGTCTAGGGGGTTGTACCCCTTGCGGGGTCAAGAGGCATTACACCAAAACCTAAACAGTATGCATGAGGATCTGAAACTGAAGCTGTTGCATTCAGCATCTGAGGGCTTTTAGTGAATGGCATCAGTGATAAAGGTACTTTCAGTCTAGTTTGTAGATATGAATAGAACAAACTTCCAGTCGCGTTTATGGATATAAACAAAACAAGATCTGCGTTTTATTAATAGGGTGGAAATATCACTTATGCGAAGTGATTCTTCATGACACCCTAAATTTTCTAATAGGAATAAATGAGACTGAAAGACTTCTGTACAGAAATAGAATGAAAAATTGCCATTGGAAGTTTTTGACAGATGGTACAAGAATGCATAGAGGCTTTTCCTGTAGGTAGAGCAAGAAAGTACTTTGTCTTCATGTCTCATCCCACATGGGTGGTTGTTGCAAATAAGGTTTCATACATATGTATATTCGAATGTTCTCTCTAACTAAAGATACCCAACTTCACTGCCAGAAAAATGCCATCTTATATATCATAGGTGCACTTATGCTCATGCTAACCAAGAAGGAATCAGAGCCATTAGAAGGTAATAAAAGCTTTCATCAGAGAGAGTCATAAGGAGTAGGAAGGAAAACAAATTCAAGCAAATCAGCTTCCTTTGTTCGATGCCGGTATGAAGACTAGCCATCCAAGCAGTTTATAAGAGCATTGATAAAATTTAGTTCAGCACTTCAATAAAGGACCCTTGTAAGGATATCTCCTCTTCCATCCACAAGTCCTCTTAACTTATGATTATGTTAAACAAAATAGTAATTGAAATGCATATGTTACAATAAAAGTCCAATAAGTGGGCGCTAACTCAAGTATTGTTCAGTTTCAGATTCAATCAAAATATCAAGTGACAAACTACAGGACTACAAAGTATATAAGATTCCATCCGAATTTTGAAAGACAAGCACCAGAAATAGAAAACCTCAATGCAAATACAAGAAAAATTTTATAAAAACAAAAAAGAAAGAACAATCATTAAGGATCCACCAACCTTCATCATAAGTCAAGTAGAAAGAGTCTGCAGCTTCCTCAGTCGTTTGATGGCAGGGGAGGTGGTCTTCATCACCTTTCGAACCTTCTTCTTCTTCACCCTTTTTACTGCAGGGGGCATCTCTCTAATTGGTCCAGGGGGTACTCCTTTCTTTAGGGCACTGCCTCGAGGGGTAACAGAGGGTGGGATTCTGAGACTTTGAGGAGGCAGCGGACTCTGTGGTTTCCATACCAAGTTATTCTTGATTGAAAATCTAACTTTTTTCGCACTCTTCTCACAGCTCTTCATGGCAGTTCCTCCTTGTTCACCGAGGTCAGCATTGTGAGACTCTCGTGCATCAGCAGTCCTCACCCTCTTTCTCTTTCTTGGAACTTTAACATTTGAGATAGTGACTGTTGATAAATCAGGCAAACTTGATTCACCATCTTTATCCAAACCCTCTTCATCAGCTACCTTCTGAAACTCCATCTGAAGATTTGATTTGAAGAGCTCACTAAAAGTTACATCATTCCCATCATTGATTATTCCATTGCTTACACTCTCCCCATTAGCAATAATCACATTGTTATTGTCATTGTCACTTTCTTTCACAATTTGGTGTTTTTGACTATCTGAACCCTCCTTGGCCTTCTTCTTCTTCTTCTTCTTCTTTGACACCTTTTTGGATCCACCTTCAACACATTCAGGCGCTTCCAATGGCAAACCAGAGCTAATTCTCTGTGTCTCGTCAGCAACAATAGGTACCAAAACAGGAACCTCTTCATCACCATTATCAACTTGGACAGCAGGAATTGAAACTTTTATTCCAGAAACTTCCAAATCCTTCTCCAATTTCAAGAACTCCATATGCAAGCCAAACAAAACCTTCCTGTTCCCTTGAAAACAATCACTAGATGATCCCAATTCAAAAAGCTTAGCTGCAAAACCCATCTTCAACGCTATTGTACCCAAATTCATAACCTCGAGATCCTCTATATCGTCCTCACCATTTTTCTTCTTCTCAAGCAAACTTTTTCCCATACACAACAAAGGCTCAAAAACATTACTCCTAATTTTACCGACCAACACCTTGTCTTGACAACTACTAGCAACACGAAACAAGGGTTTAAAAAGAATCTCATATATTTCACCACTGAGAGGCAAATAACTCTTGATTTCTTCGAGAAAAACTGAAACGATATGATAATTCACACCATTTCCTAAAAACTTCTTCTCATTAGCCAACAACGACTTCTCTTCGTAAATAGTCATCACACGCCGACTCAATTCAATGTCCCACGAATTCTTTTTAAGCAACTGAAAACTGCAATTTACGAATCGACGTATAAGCAAATAAAACTTGTCTAACCTGAGCACATCGATGCCCGACCATTCACGACGGAGTGTCGTAAAGAAGACAGAGAGATAATGGAGTGAGAGAGGGACATCCAAGGTAAGTAGCATGGACGAGAGTCGGTCAATGAGATTCGATTGTACGGGAGCCTTATCGGCGTGCCATATGCAATAAAAGAGCCCTTTCCAGAGCTTTTTCATTTCATCATCGGAGATTTCGAGCTGTGTGGGAAGCCAATTGGTGAGTTCTCGGAGAGCTTTTGACCTAGCGGATGTGTTGCACGAAGCTAAATTTCTTATTAGTAAAAGAGATTGCGGCGGCGCGGCCACATTTGACGGATCTGTGACAGTAGATTGGGTGGCACCGGCCTCTTCTACCTCCATTCTAGGCGGTCGATTGGCAATGTAAAAACCCTAATTTGCTGTAACCCTATATTGGACGATATAGCGTATGAACCCTGCCCTCCTGCATATTTGAATACAAATTATTATGTCTAAATTACATAAATAATCCCTCGACTTTAATGAAATATCAATTTTAGTCCCCTTTTAATTTATTTCGGTAAAATGATCGTTTACTAAATGTTTACCAGGTTAAGCATTTACCAATATCAGTTACCTTATCGATTGAGCATCATGACAACCAAAAAAGTTACCCTATAAGAGCTATAACAAGGACTAAGAGTTTACTCAATAAGTGAGGAAAAAACTCTTACATGGTAAGCACTTACCAGGTTTGAGACGCTTATCAACAATCCATTTTGATGGTCGAGAATGTTATATAATAAAGTAATGAGGGTTTATCTTGAAACTAAGGGGTTGTTTGTTTACCTCTTAATAGTTCCATTAAGAGGCAACTTCTGAATCGTTAAAAGGTGAATCTTGTTTGGCAAAAAAAGTCTGCATTTTAATGGTTCTAAAATCCTCTGAATGATTGTGTATCATGGATTTCCCTTAACCATTAAGAGCCCTAATTTCATTGTACACAATTACCAAACAATTATATTTCATTTTGCACTATATCATGAGAGTCTCTTAATCATTATGACCACTTAATTATTCTTCACCAAACCATTCAGCAATTACCAAACAGCCTGTAAGCATTTACCCGGTAAGTATTTAGTAAATGACTCCCAACTATTTTTTGTTTACCACTCGCACAAAGGGGTGTTAACAAAGAGCAAAGTGGCAGCTTGTTTGATCAGTTTGGACTCAACTCGAGAAAATAACATCATACTTGAGTTTCAATAATCCTTTTTTCGGAATAAAATTTGAGTTTGAGCTTAATACTCGTTTAACAATTTTAAGTTACACGTTTTGAACTAAATCAAAACTTTATAAGATTGTTTATAGAGTTCGAAATCGATTAACTCGTTTATTTCCTTGAGCTCGATGATTTTTATATTTTGATTGAATGATTTATAAGCATATGAACATGTTAGACTTGAAAAATGTATGTTTGTATGGTTCTACTCGACCCGAATTTTTATTAACCTTTCTAACGAGTCAAGATTAACATCGGTGTGATGGAGCTAGACTCATTAAATTAATTAAACAAGTGCTATTTTTATAAATAATATATAAAATAAAAATATCCGGGGAATAGTCATTTAAATATTTATATAAATATAAAAATGTACAATTATTTGAATTTTGAACCAATCAAACTATCATTATTATTTGCACAATTATTATAATTTATTTGTTTGTTTTATTTTCAATATTTATTTATTTATAATTGAATTACAAAAATCGTATGTTTCGTCATTCGACTTTCTAAATTACACTATATATTTTGTGTGGTCTTTATTAGAGGTGCTCATGGGTTGAGTTGATTGGGTTGAAAACATTTAAACAATCCAACCCAATGCTTGCGGTTTAAAAAATCTTAACCCAATCCAATCCATACGGGTTGGTCGGGTTGATACCTTGGTACATTAAAATATTCTTCTAACCTTAAATATGTTATTCTGTACTCGTAATTTTATTTTCATCATCAATCATTTGATACAATTTATCCATATTTCTTACATATACCGCAAGCAGTTAATTTTCTCAATTTACATATATATGTTCATAGTTACTGAACATATGTACGAATGAGTTATATACAGATGTGAATAGATTGAAAATATGTGCATATGAAAAGCATACATGATAGTGTAATTATCTAATGTATATATTAATAGAAATTCAACAATCATATTAAATCCAATAAATAAAAGGATATCGGGTTCATCGAGTTGAGTTGGTTTCAAATAATAGTAATCTAATATCAACTCAATACCTACGGTTTGACAATTTTACAACTCGATTAGACATCGGGTTGCTTTGGATTGGGTTATTGAGCACCCCTAGTCTCTACTACTTGTTATGGTTTCATCTCTCACCCCGATGGTTGTTACTCCTCTCCATTTAAGTGCCTCCCCATGGTATTCGTGTGAGGGCGTTTTGATGAATTTTTCCGTTGTCCCACCAACCTCCTACTCCACCACTCGTCTTAACAGCGACCATCGGACCATTGCTTCCTCATCTTCCTCTTGCACCATACTTCAAGTGAAAAGAACATATGTCGAATTTAGATCTGCTTACTTGCATGTATGATAGCTCGGTTTGGGGTTATAACCCGTAAGTTTCTTGAAGTTGTTTAAAGATGCAACCACATTTTTCGGTGAGTGAAACAATAACTATTTTGAAGCCGCTTAACAATGCAACAACATTTTTTTCGTTAGCAAGTGGGCTCTCGTCAAACGTCTATGTGCCCTCTCCTTTTAGTCATATACTCCTTGATTTGGGATTAAACGATTGAGCGTGAGGTACACGACTTGACCCTAAGTCGATTTGAGATTAATCGGTTGATATTCTTTTATGTTAATTCATTATTTAGGATTAATGATATTTATTTATGTCATTTTAAGGTTAATTGTTAGATTTGGGCACAACTATTTAAGATGTTGTCATGTTATCATTTTAATTTCTCTATATTCATGAAAATTAATTAATTTGGCTAACTTTTTAAAGTTAATTTGTTTATAGTTGAGATTTAATTATAATAGCCCACCAATTTTAACAACTAAAATGCATGTACTTTTCAAAATGTCTCTTTGAGTAACTAAAATTGACGTCGTACATTAAAACATAACAAGTTTTCGTACGATATACCTTTAAATAGATGTTAATGATAACCACAAGGATGATGCTCGATTGGTTTAAGCTTAGGTTCCAAAGGTAAAAAATGTTTGGGGGTCCCAGGGTCGGGTTCGGTTATAACCAACGGTGAAAAAGAGGATTTTTACCCTTAACGGGTTCCCCAACAGGGATCGGGAAAACCGCGGGGACCCGATGGGGATCCCGACATATATGAACCATAAAGTCAAGACGATATTTGCTTAGAAAGCATAACCGGTACATTCGTTTAATTTCCAGTTTACTCGTTTTCAGACAAGATTTTAGAAAGAAAAAGAAAACGACATCTAGACGACAAATCCAACCTTCGTGGAAATTATGATATCATTCGGCAAGACACTCTTACATATCAGAACGACTAGAAACTGCAAAGAAGTCTTGGTACATAAGTCGTTTGAAACCAAGTAAAAAGACCCTGAAAATATTGAAAATTGGGGGGAACCAGCCACCCCTTCGGACACAAACACGAAACCAGAACATCCACAATAACTCAACTAATGCTGGCTAACCTGAAGCTATATTGGAAGTCAAGAACCACAGCTTCATTCGACCTCAGGAGCCTTCTGAAGCCCTACCAAACGGGCATAATCGACCCACCTGTTTGGAAAATTTCCCAAGCTAGATCAAAAGGAGCAACTTATAGAAACAACAAAAGAAGTCGTAAAATCAAACCGAACCAAACAAGTATATCCCACCTCGGAGGTGGGGTCTGCTTACGCGTACCTGACCTCTATCCCAAAAGAATGGAGCGACCATTCCCGTGAGGACCAAACAGACTTAGTATATCCCACCTAAAAGGTCGGGTCTAGAAAGGGTAAGATGTACACAAACCTACCTCTAGCTCACAAAGTAGAGTGACTAGGAAACGGGAAGACCACACAAACCCAATATATCCCATCTGGAGGTGGGGTTTGAGAAAGGATAAGATGTATGCAGACCTGACTTCTACTCAAGGAGTAGAGCAGTTGTTTATATGAAAACCCTCAGCTTGTGAAAAGTGTGACGAAGAAAGTAAAACATATATGATAAAGTTTTGCAAAGCTGGTTAAGAGTAAGCACAGGTACTTGAAAAGCATAGCCAATTTATGGAAACTAGTGAAAGAATAAGTAGATGAATCTTACAATAATGAACCCAAGTACGTGTTTCCTGTCCGAACAACGAAGCAGGCTGCACTCAGCATTAGCTTGTGTTGGTGTAACAACGGTTCCAGGAGCCGTTGTTCAATGACACCCGCCAGAATTTGGTACCTGCCCGACAGTATTTTTAAAAAGTTTATTGATCAGAAGAATCGGAGATGACAAGTTAAAAAACAGCTCTCCTGAAAAACGACGACTTGGGGATGGAAGTGGCTAAATTGAAGTAATGCTGATGATTGAATCTTACCGGAGATTGCTAGAGACTGCCATATAAACACCGTATCCCACACTGGTGGATAAGACAGGTATATTCTCGAGCTCATCATCAGAAGATTTCTGAACAGCCTTTTTAGCATTTATCAGCGTATTTGTGACGACTGTGCCAACCTGGGCACCATTTTCAAATCAATTAGAAAGCTCTACTATTAAAGGAAATCGATCTAACACAAATGTGGAAGGATCAACTTTTCCAGTTCTATGATAAACTATTTAGTCTTGCTTACCCCTTATAAAGTTCGCTTATGATGGGTGGGATGGAGACAGAGCGACAGGTCTGCGTATATTCCACCCCCAGACCCCACCTCCGGTTGAGATATACAGGGCTGGTTTGGTTTGGTTTGGTTCGGTTTTGGGTGGGATGCAGGATTACACGATATATAGAGCCCACTAGATGGACCTTTAGAGGCCATATAGCTATGTGTGGCCCACTAGATGGACCTTGAGAGGCCATATAGCTATGTGTGGCGATAAGGTTTCCACAAGCACCATTCATCATGCATGTAAAATTAAACAACACGTAGGGATGATTGGATGGACCTTTATGCGTTTGGGGAAATTTACAGAAATAGCCAATCTGCCATAGCCATTTTCAGACCTCATTTCACTTTATAGCCAACCCTTAAGCAGAAATGGCTACAAAGTGAATGAGCTCTGAAAATGGCTAAAAAGTGAAAAGAGCTTGGGAGACTGGCTATCATCATATGTGATGATAATGTTTCTGCAAGCACCATTTCTCACGAACACAAGATTCAACTGGTAGTAAGATGAATTTGCCTCACTCTCGCTAGGCAACATAACTAATTACACTAGGCTAACGTGCAAAATGGCAATAAGCATGATGACCATGGAACGATAACCATAAATATTTTGAATGATCGTGCGTTTGGATAAAGCATATAGAAATACATACCAGTGATGATGCAGTGCCCACAGCAAAGAGCTTTGTCCCATTTCGCTACAAAACAAATTCACAGAAATTTCAAGAGATCTGAACGTTTATCGATTCCTCAGCTTTGCATGTTTTAAATAGAAAAAGAACATCCATACCGCTATAGCACCCAGTCTCTGAAGTAAGGAATATGATGCTCCACCCAGAGCAGTCTGAAAAACATACGAAAAGATCAGATAATTGCTAAATATATAAACACACACATATGTTGGTAACCGTGGGTGTCCAGGCCAACTTGCGGGCACCTCGACTAATCCTATGGGGCCCTAGAGATAACCACCACGAAAATCCTTGATGGCCCTGAGGAGACACAAAATTGGCGACCTATATTGGGAGGAACCCCAACACGTAGCTTTTATTTGCCAGTTGAATTGTCACAACTGGCGTTTGAATAATAATAAACAACGTAGCAAAATTTAAAAGCAAAGGGATAACCTGGAAGGCATTGTCAGGACAGTTGTAGAAGAACTTGGCAATACGTCCAGCATTGAGAGATATGGGAGGTCGAAGAGATATGGTAGGTGCAGGAAGGTAAACAAGCATAAAATCTGCAATTACAGCCATCACCTGGGAACAAAACAAACTCAATCATCAATATCCAAGAAAACGATAAGAAAAACCCGCAAGAGTTGGAATCCTTTAGAAGCTACCATAAATTTGGTCCAATTAACCTAGCAAACAAGAGACTCGGAGAAACCCATGTGAGAAAAATGCAAAAAGACAGACAGCAAACAACAAACTTCTATCACTCTTTGATTTAGATTCACAAAAGTAACTCATCTTTAGAATCTATAACTCAGACGGCAGATTATAGGAATCACAACCAGACAGATGTGAGGTAAAATTAACACCCACCGACTTAAAGATACGAACTTTACAAAATGTAGCGATAAACATACCACATCTGCGAAAACGATTTCCAGCTCCTTGGAGAAATTTTCTTTGCGCTTTTCGTATTCTGCAGCTGTCTGGAGACATGAATCATATAAAAGATCAGTATGTATTTGTGTTGATTAATGAGAAAGTTCTTATATCAAACAGAACAGCCTCCCATTTCAGAGCCAAAACTAGCTATTGGTGCTTGTGTTCCAATCGAAACCATCGAGTACTTAATCTCACTGATACCAGTTTGTTGCAGAACCATAGGCAATTCAAACTCATAATCTTTAGTTTATTTAGGTGTTCCAACCAGTTAACCAAGCTGATCCAAGTTTTTCTTGAAATGTTATTGTAGAGATCGGTTTTTCAACCTCATATTGCATTTTTTAAGGAAAAACATAGGTACACTTTCATTATTTCCATCAAACCTAGTACAAGCTGTGTTAAATATTCCATAAAAGAAGCTTAAATTCGAAAGTTTTGCAGACTAGGTCATGGGAGAGAATAATATACCTTGGTGAACATACCGACACCACATTCCATGCCAACCTTAGCCAGAAAAAGATCATCAGCAAGCAAACGCTCCTTAAACCCTCCAAATTGAAGCAACCACCTTAAAAATGGCGACTTCTCCATCTCCAAATACCTCTGCACTATGGATCCAGGTATTTTACCCGACCCAATTGCCGCCGCCAAGTCCTTCGGAATAGTATCCAACGACCTACCCACCTCCGCCAACACCATTAACGCCTCCTTCTCGTTTCTATCGCCACCGCTTCCACCGCCGCTACCTCCATCCCCGCCTCCGCCGCCACCAGAACTATTTCCATTTCCGATACCGTCGTCTCCTCCTCCAGAAAATGCAAGCAATATCGGAAACTTTTCGCGGCTGTGGTGGTGGTGGTGATTCAACGAACAGGTATTGTGAAGAACTCCGGTGGTTCGAACAGAAAGGGAAATTGGCGGTTGAAAAGATTGAATCGGAATGTAGGGGTTCAATTTGGAGTGAGCCCTTGAGGATGTGAAACCCATGGCCGACATCGCCGCCGTGGACATGGTGGTGTTGAGACGAATCAGGGGTTTATTGGTTGTTCGTGAAGGCGTTAGTTTCGGTGTGAGAATGAGTTGGGGTTGGTAGGCGTAGGTTGCTTTAAATGTAAGTACGAAGAAAAGAGCCAAAATATCACATCCGGAGATTTCGGAACGTGGCAGCTGCCCTTTTTAAAGTTGTTTCCGTCCCCCCAACAACCTTGTCTTAATAACGACCTTTTTATTCTACGTTAACTCGTTTCTCCATCTTGTTTTCATCGTTCCGGGATACGATCGTAACAAGTCGATATCATTTTGGTTACGTTCTTTTGTTATAACCCCATGAAGCATGACGAACGGGCTCGCATCCTTGTCGTAGATGTAAATAAAAATGTATAGTTGGTATGACGAATAGGTTCACATCCTTATTTAGAATAGGACAAATCCTATTAGGGGTTTGTAAAGCCTGAATGGTCTGAAATCCAAACTCGAGTCGAAAATAAGGTGTTTGTGTAAAACCTGAAGGGCTAGAAATCCAGAACCCGACTTTTTGGTGGATATTTTGGTTCAGATTAGGTTTGATTTTTGGGCATGCGACTTGGCTGAAAACCCAAAATACATATATCTTTTAAATATTATATATATATATCTATACTATATTATAAAGCATTTGGCTAAAACTCTTAAAAACTCTTAAAACTCTTAAACTCTTAAAAACTCTTAAACCCGTTCATCCCTATCCGATTTCATCTCATATCTAAATT